AAAGCTATATAAATGTTATGTGACTTTTCCCGTTTCTTTGGAATCGTTTAATTAAGGCCAGGATTAGGCTAAGGCGAGGCAGGCTCTCCCCTGGGGCAGAAAATTTAATTTTGAGAGGCAAACTAGTCTGTAATACACCCACCCCTGGGTGGCAAAAAGAAATAATTCTAGAGAAACTAGATTTTTGGCAATTTTGCATCCCTTAATCCATGATAATTAGTAGATGTTCTTAATTAATATTTAATTAACACATTAGCCAAGTTTTACTGAGCACTTGCTATATGTCAAGGCTCATGCTACCCTCCGGCTCTTTCTTAGAACGGAGACTCCCTCGGCCGATGTGAGTTTAGCCCTAGGAGAGTCAGGCACTGGAGCCCCCTACCTGCGCAGCCCTGCTTCACCGCTCCGGATTACTGTGCGGAGCAATGACTAATCGTACAGCCAGATACCAGCCCAGTGGGCAGACTCCAGCCTTCGCTGGTTTGGTTAAGACACTAATTTCATCAGTGAGGCTGAGGCGCCTGTATTGAGAGAGGGGATTTGGCAGCTGTGGATACCTGGCAGTTGCGCTGTCAAGGACTTCTGGTAACATTCACCTTGTGAAAGAAGTGCAAAAATACCATTTAAGATAAAACTCTATCTGGTCCATTGGAGCAAATTGATGCATGAATGATCGCTTAGCAGAGACATCCACTTATACGCCCTTTACGCTTGGGGGGAAAGCAAGAGGATGGCAACGATCGTCCTCAGAAAATCAGAAGCGCTTACCCTGTTGCGGAAAAGCAATAAAACTCCGCTGGAGCCTCTTGCATCTTGAGGCTAGGTCCAAGGATACCCCCAACCATGTTTTATTTTTTTAAAGATTTTATTTATTTGATAGAGAGAGAGAACACAAGCAGGGGGAGTGGCAGAGGCAGAGGGAGAAGCAGGCTCCCCGCTGAGCAGGGAGCCTGAGGCGGGAATCGATCTCAGGCCCCCGGGATCATGACCCAAGCCAAAGGCAAACGCCCGACTGACTGAGCCACCCAGGCGCCCCCAACCATGTTTTAGAACTCTCAAGTGAGATCAGTCACAATGTGATAGCCAGGAGACACGCTGACAAATAAGCACCTATCTCAGATTCCCTGAGGTTTTAGGTAAGCCCTAGTCAAATAGAGATACCAGTGGAAATGAATTAAAAAAGAATTTAGCAACTACTGTGACAGAAACCACACACAGACGTGCTATGTGTTGGCTGGAACGAAACCCAAACCTACAGCGGCTTCGTAATTGCAAAAAGAAGGGGAGAGAGATCAGCTTCCACGCTCTATCACTATCCCCCAATTAAGATAGGAAATGTTGGAAAGCCAAACTGTTTTTTAGGAGGAAAGGTCTAACTCAATTTGGAAATCTCAGAAAAGCTATGAAAATCGGAAAGCTCTCTTGTGTTGGGGTGTGGCAGAGGGGAGGATTTTTGTTTTACCACATCACTGATGTGTCTATTTGGATGTTAGCTGTGCTCCCAAGCATCTGATCTTTGACAGAAATGACCCGAATATATGCTGAGGTATTTCTTGTTTGCCATTTGTAAATTACATCAAGGCCATTGGGGACTCAAATTGGGAATGATTTAGGATAATGAGCAAATAGTTGAATGGGATTTATTTCAGATTCTAGAATATGCACATAGCCTCTGGGAAAGTTGGTAGACAAGGGCTGAACTCCAAAGGAGTTCAGAGCGCTGAACAGTGTAACAAATGAAATTGGCGGGGAAATGTTACTCTGCATAACAGTGTAAGGCTTGACTCTGCTAAGAAGAGAGATGTTCTCCAGGCCCAGTTATGCCAGGGGATACACCTTTAAAATAATTTCATTGCTCTTGTCTTTTTGTTTTCTCGTCCTCTTGTTTTTGTTCTTCCTTTTTCTCCAAGCCTTCCTGTGCCAAGTTCATTCTGATTTCTCTGTTTTAGTTCAGTCTTCCTATCATATATTGTTCTCATTTTTTATCATTCTGTCATTTCCCCAATCCTAGCCTTTCAATCTGATTAATCTGATTTTTAAAGTTGGTTTCAAACAAAGTATTCCCTTATAATCTAGTGACCTTTGCATAATTTCCAAAGTCAATACTTTTTAGTTAGGGCAGATTCATTCCTTCAAGCATTGAGCTGATTCAGCACCTACAGGGAACCAGATGTTTGGCCAAGTCAATACAGCTTTCTGTGGAAATTCTTTTTACCAGTATGGGTCAATCTGAGTCCTCTTGGGTATATCTGGTTAGGGATGTATTGGAGAATCACTTCCGGACTAGTTTATTCAAGTGCTCTTCAGCCCAACTATCTGTTTTTACTGAATTGAGCACTCTGTGTAGCATGCATTTAAAAAGAGAAAAGAGGTCTTTTTAATGTGGTTATTGAACCGGAAAGAGAAGATGCATTAGCCATCCACCTCCTTATTCTCCCATTACTGATCTAATGCAGGACAATCTCGTCTGAACATTTGCCCCTTGGTATTGATGTGGCTGACCATGGGTGATGTATTAATGGCTCCTCCTGGACCATGACTCAGTTGTAATGCGCCATCCTTCCTCTTTCTCACCACAGAGGAAAAGGGAGTCAGAAGAGTATGATGGAGTTTCAAGATAACATCTAGATAATCCGGTTAGAATACTACCTATAGCTGTCCCAGACCCTGACTAGGCTGTAGAATTTTCGAAATGTTATCCATTAAGAGGAAGTTTACTCTGCGGAGAGTGACAATCCTCCAATAGTTTCTTCTACTTCTACAGATCTTGTGGGGTGTTATGGGCTTAACTATCTCACCCCAAAAGATAAGTTGAAGCCCTAACTCCCACTACCTCAGAATGTGACCTTATTCGGAAATAGGGTCACTGCAGATGTAATTGGTTAATATGAGGTCATACCATAGTGGGGTGGCCCTTAATCCAATATGGCTGGTGTTCCTGTAAGAAGAGAAACAGAGACACATAAAGGGAAAATCCAATGTGACAAGGGTGACAGGGACTGAAGTGCTACAGCTGAAAGCCAAGGTGCCGAGGAACACCGGCTACCATCAGAAGCTAGGAAGAGGCAAGGAAGGATTTAAACTTACATATTTCAGAGGGAGCATGGTTCTGCTGACACCTTGATTTTGGACTTCTAGCCTCCAGAACAATGGAACAATGAATTTCTGTTTTTTTAAGCCCCCAAATTTATGGTACTTTGTTATGACAGCCCCAGAAAGCTAGTACACTGTGTGTGTAAAAAACGCAATGTCCTCGCTGCTCTGTGTCTTGGCTCTTTCTCTAAGTGTGTTTTCAGGAACAACCTCCAAGGGTGAGGTCATATCTCCATCTTGGACAAAAGACAGTCTTGTTTATCGCTTGCTATAAAAATGGTAGATTCCCCAAGCTCAGTGCTCCTCAGCTGTGAGGTAAGTCCACTGCACTCATCTGAACCATGTTCTGTCACCCCTGTGGGACTCTGGAAAAGAGGGGCTTGATGCAAACATGCTGGGACTCATGCCACCTGCTGAGCCATGAATTGTGTGTCTTCTGCCACCATCCATGAAATAGTAATGAGCTAACTTGTTAGCTAGTAAATAAGGTGAAGCCAATCCCAGATGTGGCAGATTTCTGAAGGGGCTATTGCCCAGCCCCCAAAGCTTTTATATTGCAGGGGCTCCTGTCTTCAAGGAGCTTGGAGATAGGATATACATGTGACAAGAGGAATAACCAACAAGACAACATGAGGGATGCTACAAAGTAGTGTGTGATGAATCATAACATTACTTAAGTCTCAAGTACTGGTATCTACAATAAAGATTTTTCAGTTAGGGAGAAAAGAGTACTGTGGGCTGGAGTGGAAAAGCTCATAGGTGAGCTATAAGTGGAATGTTGAAAGTGGTTAGAATTTGAATAGTAATATGAACTGGGGGCATGAGCTTCAGAAGGGAGGGTTGTTGCAATCAGCCTCTTCTATGATTCTATCGCATCTTGTTGACACCTCTTTGATAACACTTATTACAAAATATTGTAATCTAGAGTTTGCATGTCTGCTCCCTCTTTTGAGAGCTTTTTAAGGGCAGTGATATATTTTATTCATTTAAAAAAATTTGGCATCCAGGGATGCCTGGGTGGCTTAGTCGGTTAAACGTCTGCCTTTGGCTCAGGTCATGATCCCAGGGTCCTGGGATCGAGTCCCACGTTGGGCTCCCTGCTCAGCGGGGAGCCTGCTTCTCCCTCTCTCTCTGCCTGCCGCTGCCCCCTGCTTGTGTTCTCTCTCTGTGTGTCAAATAAATAAAATCTTAAAAAAAAAAAGACATTTTAAAAAAAATATTTGGCATCTGTCACATAGTAGGCATGTAATAAATGCTAGGTAAATCATGATTGGTGAATAAATGGCTGCACTAAAGATTGAAAATGGATGATTTGACAGAGCAGATTTAGTGGATGTAACAGGAGGACAGAGGAAGGTAACCTGGTGCCACATGGAAGAAGACCTTGAATGTCAACCTGGGAGCACTGAACAAAAGGAGACTGGGCTGCCATTGTCAGGTTGGAGGTGGTATTAGAAAGTTATTATAGGAAGATTTATTTAGTAGTGATGTGCATCTGTGAGGGATGAGCCCAGAAGAGGGAAACCAGTTAAGAAGATATTACGATAGTCTAAATCTAGGGGTTCTCTAAGATGCCCCACTATCACTTCATTATTTTAGAAAGATTCATGTAGGGGTGCCTGGGTGGCTCAGTCAGTTAAGCATCTGCCTTTGGCTCAGGTCATGATCCCAGGGTCCTGGGATCGAGCCCTGCATGGAGCTCCCTGCTCAGCTGGGAGTAAGCTTCTCCCTCTGTCCCTCCCCCCACAGCTTGTGCTCTCTCTCGCTTGCTCTCTCTCTCTCAAATAAATAAATAAATAAAATCTTTAAAAATAAATTAAAAGATTCATGTGATGTGACAGAGGATTAGGATTATGGCCCATGTGAGTCAGCAGGGAAAGGGAGGCCAGGATCACTGTCATGTCATTTTATTACAGCACACAAAGGGTGATTGGGTGAAATGACTGGCTGTCTTCTAAGGCTTCTGTACCACCTCGTGATTCCTCAGGCTTCACTCCCCTTCTGCGGAGAGCTTGGTGGTGAGTGGTGATCAGATAGCAATTTTACCCGTGGCCATTTATCATAATAGAGAGAAGTGGGCCCTAACTAGTAGAAACAAACTTCATCAGTTGTTGGGGAGCTGGGCTCTCCTCTGGCTAGGCAAGGATGGAGGTGGCACCTGCTAAGTGCTTTCTATGCCAGGGCTCAGAACATTGCTCAGGTTAGATGGATGACGTGGCCCCACTTCCAGACCTTCAGATGCACCAGGCTTGCCATTCGATAGAAGGTTGAAACTTCAGAAATGTTTTTGTGCGTTGAATCGATGTGTTGGGTCAGTCGTGCGCTCCCAAGGACTACTGCCGAATCTAATGGAGAGGTATTTCTCCTTCAGTCACTGCACACTATCTACTTAACTGGTCAATCAGCACACAGCACAGGGACTTCTGTTCCTAGGAAGGGGATAGAAACCTCTTCACTGTCTTTCAAACTGCTTAGGATAAAAAGCACCAACCTCTATCTGGCCGTTGTGATTTGATCATGTGTTCTGGAATTGAAGGAAGGGGCTCCGTACCAGAACGTCCATGTCAGTAGAGGCAACGGGGAGATGGATGCAGGCTCAGTCATCCAGACTTTATCTTACATCCCAGCTTTCTTTGCCATTGTCTTCCAAAACCAACAGCTTGTCTACAGTCTTTAACTCTCAGAAGTGATAACTCCACAGCCCCCCAACATTTTACCAAGAAAAATTTCAAACATACAGCTTGTATATACGTATTTTTAAAACTCAGTTGTAATAACGGACAGCAATTGTTTCAAACTTATCCCAGTCAAAGCTTTTTTCAGGGAGGAGTATTTTATTGTTTAGACATTATTTGGAATTGCTGGTATATGGTAATAATATAAAGCAGACTTTAGTTGGCTTTCTGGTTGTCTTAAAATCCTGTGCATATAGTGTAGCTCCTTTGATTTGCTACTCCTTCCCATTCATGGTGATGTCAAAGAGAAATAGAGCTGGACACCCAGGAAAAGCTCCAAAGACAGATTTTATTCAGTACTGTTGCAATAGGGAAAAGAGACTGCAGGATAGAACTTAGCCCAACTCCAGATACATCAAAGATAGCTGGTGATTTGTGGTCAGTGAGCAGAGTTAGGGGGCTGGTGGGTGGAAAATCACTAAGAGAAGACAGCAAGGGTAGGGAGATTCTCACCAAAGGCAGACAAAGGATTTATACATCAAGGTTAGGGGATGAGGACCTTGATCAGGTATCAGGGGTGATCAGATGTCAAGGTTAGGGGTTGGAATTCTCACTAACCTGACAGCAGGATTCTTGCTACAACTGGGCTGGGAAGGCTGAGGACAGGGCCCAAGGATGGGACCTAGTCAACAAGAGGGCTCAGAGGAGCCTGTCTCAGGGTTAACTCTCAAAGAGAGAGTCTTCGTCAGTGGCCACTGCCCAGGCCATGGGGCCTACTTATACTGGTGAAAGGAGTAGTTCTAGAAATAAGGGAAATAATACAGAAAAGAGGGGCAATTAAAGAAAGCTCTATTTTTAGATTTCCCAATCTTATAAAGCCTAAAGCATTAACTAGTCATTTCATCAGTGTTATTAATAAATTGCAAAGCCAGGAAATGAATTAGTACAACATGACATTGTTTGTCTGTCATTCTGTCCTTAACTGACTAACGTTTGACCACTTTCAGCAGGCAGTTTCTCGTGTGCTTTCTTACGAATGGCCCTTGAGGGATGCCCAAGATTGTGTCCGGAGCAGAGCTTCTCGTCTAAAGGGCCATTGACCCTTTTTCCATTAATGCTTGGTGCTCACAGGAAAGCCTATTTGTGTCACAGGGGCGAGCTGTGAAACGTGTGGGCAAGCCTGGCCTTTTCCTTCCTCGTCTGCTAAGGACAGAGGCCCCTCGTGATTCCCCACTTCCCACCCTTGAACCTAATTCAGGCTGGTGTGGGTAAGAATGTGGGAGATGAGTGCAGGGCATTATCACCAGAAAAGGCCCAGGTTGACAGAGGACTTCAAGAGCGGGGAGAAAAAAGGAAAAATTCCTCTTGAATGGAGATTTTCAGAGCACATAGCTGCACAGTCGAGAGCAGAATCAGAGAGTGAGGCTTCTGGAACCTTCTTGGATCCGAGCAAGAGAAATGGGGGTGCGGAGATTTCTAAGAAGCAGGACTGAGGGTTATAAGTTAGATCTCTTAGTAAATTCTTTAGAAGATACAGGTAAAAAAATTTTTTTAATTTGATTTAACTTTTCATCTCTGTTATTAATTTTATAACCCGAAGGCAACATTTTAATGACTTGTAAATATTTTCCGATTGTTGAATGTGTCCGTGTGAGGCAATCTTGCCTTGAGACTCTGCTTTGAGGGCCTGACTTGTATGGAATTATGTTAAGAAGCCTGTGGTTTGGGGTGCCTAGTTGGGGTGCGAGGTCCCTTTAACACTCACTATATAACAATGAGGCAGCTTCAGTTTCTGAACTGGCCCCGGTGGAGGTAAATTGATTCCTTCCCTCTGAAAGCTAGCTTGAACTCAGCCACCCATTCTCCTCAAGCAAGAATGTGAGAGGATAAAAACTAGCTTCGAGACCTCTCTATGCTCACACATAGAAAAACTAACAATGGACAAAGAAAACACCGATGTTTCATCCAAACCTGCCGACGTGAACGTAAGTACAATGTGGGAAGCCTTCCCTCTTACTTGAATGCCATTTATTGGTGACCTTGTTAGTAAAATGAGACCGTGTGACTTTATAAAAATAAAGAGAGCAGTAATAACATACTTGATCTTCTTACGGTACTTAATGGATTTTACCAATGTGAGCTTGTTTCAAAGTGCTGTACTTGGCAATTGATTTGCAACTGTTTTTCTAAAACTCCAGGGAAATTGTACTGATCTCTAGACAAATTCCATTTTAAAATTTAATCAGTGCTAACTGAAACGGCCTATAATGTGTTCCTGCCCTGAAGGACCCAACCTTGGCCTTGTCAGTCCTACACGTGCCAGAATTTCTGTGCATTTCCCTTTTTCACTTCTTTGGGGGAATATTTGAAAGTAGTCTGGCACCATAGTCAGCTCATCCTGCAATAGAATGTTTTTCTCTGTAGAAACACCATCCTCATGCCTGCAGGACATCGCGTTCAACGAGGCCTGATCTAGTTCAATTTCACCAGGAGGGATAAAAGCTACATTTCACTCCAGGGGTTGACAAGGGTGTTTGGCAAAAAGAATGAGGGAGCCATGAATAATTCAGAATGTACTTGGCCACATATTATCCCATTAATCGGTAGGATTAAAGACCGGAGACATGGACTTTGAAGGGAAGAGTGAGGGAGAGTTAAGAGAGAATGAGAGAACTCTTAAGAGAACTCAAAAGAGAGATGACTTCTTTGGGACTGCTGTTCTAGATTGTTGCCTTTAAAGGAATGTGTGGTTAAAAGTTATTTCATCGCTGGAGTTTAGTTACCCTGACATGTATAAATCTCTCCTTGAAAGAACCTAAACTCTTGCATACATTATTAAAGAATTCACAGCATCAGATGACAGAGGGTAGAGGAGAAAAAAAAAAAGAAGAGGGAAACAGTTAAATAATGAATTTTTTTCCTCTTGCACATAACACTTTGCACATCAATACGCTAAAACCAATAATTTTCTGAGTCCTCTATTTCATTCTTTATTTTTAAATAATTATTTCATTTGCCATTGAGAAACTGAGTCCCTGATCAGCTCATTGGCTGTCCTGAAAGTGCATGCATGCGAGGCCCTCACTCCTATCCCACAGCCCTGCACGAACCAGAGCATCATCATCCACAATTTTTTTTTCTGTAACACCCAGTCAGGAAGCCATAAATAAGAAATCAGTTTGTTTCTATGAGGAACTCACTTATATTCTTATTTTCAGTCCTGCCTCAGCCAGAAGAAATTGATGGTGGGAGAAAAGCAACATAATACAAACATGTGAAACACACGCCTCTTCCCACAGCTGAGCTTTGTACAGATGAAATGACCCTCAGAGACTCTTAACCTCCTGACCTTCGGGTCCTCTGGTCTATCCTCCATGAAATTCAGGCCCATTCTCTACAGCATCTACTTGGCAGAACTGGAGAGCTGAGGAGAGGATCTGGGCTTCATATAATGAATAATTAATTCACTGGGGTGCATATACTGTCTGATTTTTCTGATCTTAATTACATGATTTAATGCAAGTCATTCATTACACTTATATTGATGATTTGATTTGACTGATATATTGAGGCCTTTCAGCACTAAGATTCTCCTGACTGGGTGGCTCCATTCCACATGTGTTCTAGACTAATATATCTTCTTTTTTCCCCCTTTCTTTTCTTTCTTTCTTTCTTTCTTTTTTTTTTTTAAGATATCCAATATCTCAGTTCAGGTGGTCAGTGCCCAAGGGAAGCTGCCAGGTAGACGAGCACCTCGAAAACCCATCGACAAAGCCAAACCCAAGACGCCGTCCAAGAAGAAAGCTCCCTTCTGGAATGCCCAAAACAAAATCATTGTCTTCACAGTATTTCTCTTCATCCTAGCTGTCATAGCTTGGACACTTCTGTGGCTCTACATCAGTGAGTGAAAATCCGTGTTCCTTTGGGGCTGCTAGTATATGGGCAGTGCACACCCCATCTGCCCCTGGGTGTGTCTGAGAGACTTTCCCAAGTTCCCAGACTGATCGCCATTCCCAAAACTGTGGAGGTTTTCAGGAGGAAGAAGGCAGAATTGTCTTTCCCATTTCTTCCTTTACCACCACAGCTTTCTTGTCCCCGGAGAGCAGGAGGAGCAGGGATGGGGGATGGGATGACAAGAGCTGAGGAGGATGTTCAGGAGCTTTGGAGGAGTTCAGAAATGTAATGCTTTTTTAGCTTTAAGAAATGAATGGTTTTCTCAGTTGTTTCATTTCCTCATTCCACCCACCGCTGGTTTCTAGGCAACCTCAGATTTCCTGCTCCCCGAGCTTCCTTTCACTCATGCATCTTGCTCTCCACGGCGCTTATGTTTTTGTCAAGCTGATTGGTTATGCTTTTGTCTATCTGATTGATCCTTTTGGACAGGAGTTATGACTAAGCTTTTTCGTAAACCCATTCCACTCATTCACTATAGCATTTGTTGACTTACACTCAACATGCAACTCCATACATGTTAATATGTTTGATACAAGATATGTGTACTCTCAAGGATATTAAAAATTGGTTGTGAGGCAGGACTTGTAGGCAAATAATTAATGAATATTGTATTGAACAGTTCAGGATACATATATATATATACACACAAACTGATTACTTGCAATTTGTTCAGCACAATTCAGGACATCAGACATACCAAGATAGATCTCCTACCTTCAGAAAGCTCACAGATGCATTTTCTACTTTCAAGAAACTCAGTTCAGGGCTGGAGAGGGGGTGTGAGTTGATTTTTTAATTTT